AAATCACGCAAAGCCATACGCTTTATCTTTGGGAGACTGAATTCTTCACCCATAACCCCTTCTTCATCTCTTCTTGCTATTATCTCCTCCATTTCCGCACAATTTTGAACTTCAATCACTTCCAGATTTACAAGCAACGGAAGACAAATTGGCATCCTCTTTAGCTTCGGACAATACCTTACTTCAATTTTTTCTAGAGAATTGCATATCAGTGGTGCACTACAAATGCTTTTCAGTTCTGGTAAATCTTTCAAAACCACACGCTTTAACTTTGGGAGACTGAATTCTTCAATCACTTCATCGCTTCTTGCTATTATCTCCTCCATTTCCGCACAACCTTCAACTTCAATCACTTCCAGGTTTGGCAACAAGACAGGTGGGAACAGCTTCTTTATACTTGGACAGTAATGACAATAAAACTCTTTAAGACCAGAAAATATACCCTTAGATGGAGATGGTGGTGGAGCAGAGCAGAACCAAGAAGATGAAACCAAGCTCTCCATGCTACTGCAATTCCAAATCTTGATGACCTCCAGTTCAGTTGCATACTTCAATGAGGAAACATCGCATAAACTTCTTGCATCATTACAATACCAAATCTCCAATTGTTGAATCTTACCCAAACCAACAATTCTTGTACAAGTCATCTTTACTTCACAATCATCATTATCTACAAGAATTTTGCATGTGCTTGGTGATTGGATCTTATCTCGAGATTTGAGATACTCTACAAAGCCAGAGAGACCTTCAAAACGGCATTCCAGAGTTTCTAACTTCCTCAAGCAAGCTACTTCCTTTCCTTTAACTCTTACTTCGTGTATTAATAATAAGACTTGCAGGTTAGGGAGTTTAGGTAATATCCCACTAGGAAACTCCTCTTCACCAAATCCATCCAGTCTAAGATACCTCAAGTTGGATAGACATTCCATGCCTCGAGGCACCTTTTCAAGTACAGTTCCCCTGAGATCTAACCTCTTCAGCGCCCTCAGCTTTTTCAATGATGGTAAATGCCTTAATTTCGAACACCATTCGAGCAATAATGCATTGAGACTCGTCAAATTAGAGACAGACTCTGGCAAGTTTTCAATACGTGTACCAGACAGATCAAGAACCTTGAGCCCTTGCAATTGATTGAAAAAAGAATCTGCAATAAAATTCAATCTGTAATTAGAGCGTAACAGCAAGGTTGAAAGACTTGGACATCTTGGTGAGTAGCCAGAAGGAATTTCCACAAGCCGACCCTCCATAAAAGAGACTCTCACTAGTTCCTCTTTCCACTTATCCACATCTAGTAATTCTGCATCAACCATGATGGGAGACTTCGTTCGCAGTATTTGGTGGGCCATGTCTCTAATCAAGTCATGCATCTTGACAGCTCTTTCGTCTCTAAATTTTTTACAACTTTCCAACAAGCAGAAATTTTCAAGTTTATTAAGCATCGTATGGCCCTCATCAAATTCTGCCTGTTTGCTCTTCATCCCTTCTATTATTCCCTCATCGATCAAATAACCTATCAAATCCTCCCTGGGAATCTGATAATCTTCTGGAAATAATGCACAGTATAAGAGACATTGTTGTAGTGCAAAATCATTTAAGCGATCATAGCTATACTTCAATACTCCAAATACCTCATCCTCCATGTCTCTACATCTTGATTGTTTCAATTTATCCAGTGTATTCCTCCACTCATGTAGGTCATCCACTCCCCTCATGCTTCCTGCCATTGTAATAATTCCTAAAGGCAAACCACCACACTCTCTCGTGATAGATTTTGCAATTTCCACAACTTCAGGAGAGAGTATTTCATCATGTGCAAGTTTCTCCTTGAACAAAGTCCAAGCTTCATTATCAGATAGAACTCGCACATTGATTGTGCATGTACAGTTGATCCTTCGACAAACTTTTATATCTCGAGTTGTAAGAATCAGCTTGCAACCCTCCACTGGGATAGGAATTCCCACCTTGTGTAGCTCAAAAGCGTTCCACAAATCATCTAAAATGAGAACCCATTTTTGTTTCTTCTTTAATTCTTTTGACAATTTGACAGCTCTACACAGCTCATCTTCTTCTTTTGTAAGGTCTGCACCAATATGATTAGCAATAAGATTCTGCAATCTATTAATGCTGAAGTTTTGCGACACAGTAATCCAGTAAGCATGATGAGAAATGTCTTGTCTTTCGAGAAGCTGATTATAAATATGCTTCAGCAATGTCGTTTTACCAACTCCCCCATCCCGTAAACGCCAACAGTCGAGACCTCGTCATTCATTAACCAAGACCAGATTGCATTCCGATTCTTCTCAAATTCTTGACCCACCAGCTCTGTAGAACCAGTTGGTAATGCATATCCTCTAGTCTCATTTGTGTTACCACTAAGCCCTCCAAAAGAGCCAGCACCTGGCACTGAGCCTCCAGTCCCATCCTCTACATCTGTTTCATCCATCAACTGAGAATCAATGGTCCTAATTGTTGTCATTGTTAAAATTTCCTCCCAATTTCTTCCCTCTAGATCCACATGACCCAATACATCAGTTGCTTGCAAAGCATCTTCTCTAGACTCATGTGTATCAACCACAAGCCTCTCTGGGGAGAAACTTCTGTCAACAGTCTGGGCCTTTTCTCCAGTCAAGTTCTCCATGCGATTTCCTGTTTCCGTAGTTGAAGTAGTTCTCTGTCTCAACACACCTTGTTCCATGCCCTGACCCTCCACTGCATTATTAATACTTCTACTAGAAGTACCGATGCTTTTATGTCTTTTGTTGCCACTTCGCATAGCTAGAAAGGCTGCTTCTTGAACTTCTTCAGGCACTTGTCTACAAATCGCAACACCATGACCTCTTTCTCCCGATAAATGCCATTTGATCCTTGAAATTGAAGTATCCTTGGCAAATGGATGCCCGCAGAACTTACACTTGAAACTACCATCATCCATCTCTTCAACATAATTCCAAAATGGATCATTCGATCGAACCATTTTTCTCCTTCTCCTTCAATAAGGCCTATAGAAAAAGAAAATATATACATTTATCCAAATATTGAATAAAAATTTAATGGAAGTCAAATTAATTCGGAAAAAAAAGGCTAAATCTAAAATTATAAGTTAAAGGCGTCGAAAATGTTATTAGAAAAAAGGAAGTCAAACCGAAGTCTTCAAGGTCAATTTACTATGAATCCTTCCCTTATAGCCATGGAAAATATTAATAATTAATGAGGAATGCATCATAATTTTTTAGGCATAGCACACAAGAAAGAATTTATGTTTGTCGCTCATAAAAAGCATGGCCGACAGCATATATATATATATATGTTGAGGGTCAATAGGATAATATATAGATGAAAAAATATTTCACGGGCAGAATGAGCTTATAAGTTGCAGATTAGGGACAAAGAATAGTTTTATCTTAACATAGTAAATGATTACTAATATAGTTTAGTGATTCAAAGGAAGCACGAGTTAGAAATTGAGTTTCACCATTCCACTTGGGAAACGCTTCAAACTTCGATATAAGTAAGTTTTTTTTTGGGGGCGTTAAAAATAATTTATAAATCTGATAATCGTTCCTGATCATTCAAATTGTATTTAAAAATTAAGCTAATCAAATTTAAATTTAGATTTTGTTTGAACCCAATTTATAAATTTATTAGTGAAAAACCGAAGTCAAACCGAAGTCTTCACTTTGGTAAGTACTTATTTTTCCAAACTATTGATTAGAGATTAGCCAATTTTAGTACATGGAAGAATCAAATGATGATATATATAGAAACAGCATGCTACAAAAAAAGAAAAAAGAAAAGTGGAATACCTGTGCAACTACGTCCTGGTTTTGCTCAAATCAGAAATGGAATAGAAAGAAGAGAGAGAGAGAGACTGGTTTAGAAAATGGATCTAGGTGAAGAAAGCTGGTAAGGGATTGGAAATGAGAGATGTGGAATACCTGTGCCTGCAAAATATTCTGCAACTACGTACTGGTTTTGCTCAAATCAGAAATGGAAAAGAAAGAAGAGAGAGAGAGAGAGACTGGCTTAGAAAATGGAGCTAGGAGGAGAAAGCTCGTAAGGGATAGGAATAGAAAGAAGAAGAAACTGTGACAGTAGTTGAAATGATAAAGGACGTTCCACTTTACTTTACCTTCCCAGCAGTTGCTTTACTTTTTCCTACTCTTTTAAAGTTGAGTAAATTATAAAGTAGTCCTTTTAGTTTTACAAAATGAACTAAATAGTCTATTTAGTTTTAAAAACTAATTAATTAGTTTTTTTTTTTTAAATCTATTTATAACTTAACCTATTCTTTTTTAATTTATTTTGATTTTTTTTTAAGAAATGAAAAAAAATAAAAATAAAAAAATGACAAGGTGATAAAAAAAAGAAAATATTTTTTTGAAAAAAACTAATATTAAATTAATCATTAAAATTGGTTGTTGAAACAAAAAGAATTGTTAACTTGTTTTGTAAAACTAAAGAGACTAATTTATAACTTACTCCAAAATAGATGTGAAAATATATAGCAACAGGTGGGCTAAGAAATATTTTAATAGTATAAATTTACTTTTCCTTTTTGTTTTTTCTTTTTGTCAAATTTCAAATATACCCCCTAACTATTGAAATAATATCAAATTTACTTACAAATAAATTTTTGGTATTAATCATATATTTAATAATTTAGATTTCTCAAATAGATCCTTATGTTACTTCTTGACAGAAAATGTTTAGTAATTATGTATCCATGAAAAACAAAAAATTTAACAAAGTACAATATTCTAGACATACATGTTGAAATAATATCAAATTTACTTACAAATAAATTTTTGGTATTAATCCATATATTTAATAATTTAGATTTCTCAATTTTTGGTATCCCTGACAGGAGTTGAATACCAAAGGACAATATTCTAGACATTGTCCCATAAGGTAAGACATCAAAGTTCTTCAGCAGCAAAATTTTAGAGGTACTGAGGCTTTTCAAATAGATTGCGTGTACTATATCCCATCACACCATCTAACTAAGAAAAGGCTGTTGAACAAGATACCTCATTTAACAAAATTCCTCCTGTAAATGGTTTAGATACACAAGCATCATTCCTCTCTTCAATCGCGTCCCCATCCAAATCCTGCTTTTCCAGAAACATGGCCGAGAATTTTTTAGTGATAGGAAAACAAATATGCAATCCATCCTCCCGAGTATAAACCTTCCTCCCAAGATCTAACCATCCAAAAGTCTTCAGTATGTCTTTCCCCAATTCCGCATTCTTCTTTTCAAGTTGTAGTACCCAGTTAGAAGAAACCAACAGATGCTTCTCAGCCTCAGAGTTCAAGACAGGACTCTGTGTTAAAGCCTCCATGTTTCCAACATGAGAAACTCTAACATTGACATTCTTCTCTGTTGGCATAAGTTTGTCTCCTAAAGAAACCAGCAGAAGCAAGTTGACTTTTAATGGCTCGCTGAACTTTGTTCCAAATGCATAACAAGCTGCACCCCCACTAATGATGACAAGATCATCGACAACAACATTGGCTGTAGTGTGCACAAGCAACTCTTTGCCTATACAATCAAGAGTGATGTGTTTCCAAACATGGAATTGCAGATCAAGCAATGCCAATTATTGGAAACGTTGTCCAACATGACAACAACCAATGACTCCAAGAAAGTTCTTGAAGACAAACATTGAGTCGGAGAATCTAGCATGTGGACTTCTTCCAGCTGTCTTTTTCAACTTCCACATGCATGCCTGAAAATCAGAACTCTATTAATCTCCAAGAGCTCTCTTGCCATTGTACCCTCCAAACACGAATGCTTTAGACCCATATGCCACCATTGAGTGAGAATGACGAGCACATGGCTGTTCCCCATTAACCAAGACCTCTTGCCATTGCAGATTTCCAGTGTTAAGAACATGCAAGGATGATAAGATTGTATCACTGTGAACTGTGAAGTCCACCATATACATATATGTTGGAGCCAACTACTGCTGCTGCATGCCGATGCCTGCAAAGCATACATAAAGAATTCAAAAGCACAATTACATCATTCTTTCCAAGGAAAAATACACATATATGGATTCTAAGAAACTAATTATAAGAGATATCATAGATGCCAAGACAGGTGAACAAAATCAACAGTTGTTTGGCAAGATGGGATACAGCGTTCTGTTTCATTGACGAATATTTCATAAAACTTGGAGTCAATACACAAACCAAAAGGGCAAAAAGAACGAAGATTAAAATGTGAAGTGAGGAGATTAATATAAATGTGCTCAATAGTCAATACTTCACCTTGGAACAAAAACATTGCCACTGGATTATACCAGATTTTATTCCATTTTGGCTGTATTGAGAACCCATACATTCAGAAGGTTGGAAGGATCAGCTCTGCCTCCAATAACAAAAACAAAATCACCAACCAAAGAAGCTGCCTCAACATCAATTGCTTTTAACTAGCCCTGAAGGAAAAGCTTCTCTACAGGTTCACCAGCAACTACAATTGGAGAAACAGATAAACTGCAATCGGCTGCTTCTCCTCCTCCTCCTACCATCCCTGCCAACGCCAATGATTCAAAGACTCAAAACTTTGCTATCATATTAAAACGAAGTATTGGGCATTCAAGGTCAATTAATCTAAAAATTGGAAATTAAAGCATTGGGCTTTTTTTTGGGTGAGTGGGCCAGAACCATTGGGCTGCCCAACTAGAGACATGAAGAAAAATGGGGCAATGCTTGTTAGTCACTGCCATCATGGGTTCTTGAACATACCAGAGGCAGGGGGCTGATGAATTGAATCGAATAACGAGAGGGAAGTAGAAAATTTACCTGGTCTGCTTGGTTGAGGGTGAAACGATGGCAATGATGGGGAGTTGCCTTCTGCTTGCTCTCTTCCAATTGTCCTTCGTCCAAACCTAGAAACAACTATGAACCCAGAAGATTAAGAACTCTTGAAAGATGAAACCCAGAAAGTTCTTTTGTTAAAACCCAAAAAAGGAAACCTAGAAAAATCCCCCTAAACCCATAAAATTCTCCTTCTAAATTGCCTCTCAGTTCCCAAAATTGCTCTAGTAGCCAAAGTTTTCCCTAAATTCCCAGAGTTCTTCCTTTTATAAATTGTCCTCCCCTAAAATCCCCTTTAAATCTTCTCAATCAAAACCCAAGCGATTCTTCAAAACCCAAGCTGTTCTTCGAAACGTAGAATTTTAAAGAACCCAAAATCTTTCAAACTCGAATCCTCCAACGCTAGACCAATGAGCTGGCTTCAAGGAATCTAAATCAGTTAGGAAACCAGAAAATCAAAACCATTTCGAAAGATTTTTTTCTCATACCAAGCCATTTTTAAATTTTATTTACCATAATAGAATAATTTTAAACTTATTTATCAAAATAGGGTACTTTATGTCATTTTATTTATATAATTAACATGTCAGTTTTCTTGTCTATGCCTAAAACCCAGTTGTTGAGCAGTAGAAAGTGATAATATCAAACGAACATGGTGAAAAACTGATGAGCTTATTACATGACAATGGATCCAACGAGATTGTTATATTATGTCATGGTTTTCGTTCTACCAAGAAAGACGATATTATGGTGAATCTTGCCAAGGCATTAGAAAAGGAAGGAATCGCTACCTTCCGTTTCGACTTTGCTGGAAATGGGGAAAGTGAAGGTTCATTTGCATATGATACTTATTGGAGAAAGGCAGATGATTTACAAGCTGTAATCGAACACTTCAGCAGAGAAAGCCGTGCCATAAGTACAGTTCTTCGGCATAGTAAAGGAGGTGATGTGGTGCTCCTATATGCTTTAAAATATCTGGATATCAGTGCAGTTTTCAATATTTTTGGCCGTTATGATCTAAAGAGAGGCATCAAAGAACGGATTGGAAAATATTCTATGGAAAAGATCAAGCAGGATGGATTCATCGATATTAAGAATAGAACATGATAATATGTTATGGAAAAGATGAAATTTTTTTTTCAAAGAAGAGAGGCCTTAACATTTTTACGTTTTTTAATTAATGAAATACCTAAAAAAAATAAAATTATTTAATATAATGAAATTATTTTTTAATAATTAAAAAATCTAATATGTTAAAAAAATTCTTTATTTAAAAAATAAGTTTAAAAGTATCTCAATTAAGGAATAAAAATTTATAGTTCACTCGAATGCGCTCCATTAAACTTTGTATGGTTGATCGGAACTAACACCACTTTAGCCAAGAAGTAACTAACCTAGAGGGGTAAATCTCAATGTCGGTTTTGGGACATTCTCCAAGTGGAATTCATAAAGCACTTACAAGATCCCGACAAACAAGTCGGACTCCGAATTTGGACACTAGCGATAAATGGATTGGTGTTGTTACCATCGGTCGAGAGTATGATCGATGTTAAGGCGATCAACGTATTTAAAAGTGTAGTATCTTTGAAGGTTAATCCCATTGTAGTAATTCTAGAAGAAACCCTCTCATCATTAAATTTCTATCGAAGAAAGAGAGACGGACATTTGAGGTGTTGTGTCCAATTATTGTTTGTATGGATTGTGAGCCACGTGGTGACTGGGGAAGCCTTCGGCATTTTTTGCACCCCATGGTACCTACATTCTAAGTTGAAAATTTTTGCTTGTCATGCCCTCAACGAGTTGGGTAAGATAATATAGGTTAAGTTATTCCTAAGTTTAGAGAAGTCGAATTCTATTAGAGAGCATGATATGCTTTCTTTTAGAGCTACACGACTTTTTGTGGCAACTTTCCTTAGGTGTCACTAATTGGAGCTCTTTCGTTGCATCAATTACTTGTCCGAACATGTTTCTAAGGCGATTAGGGTTCGAGCAAGTCATTCCAAGGATGACTGGTCTAACTAAGTATTATGAGGATCTAAGGGTCTCTAAGAAGTTCTTAGAGGGAGCTAGATTTGCTTAGAGAAATAGAGCGATTGTCACTCCTAAAAGAAGAGTGGATGGAAGAACCTCACTCGGATATCCGAAATGGAAAAGCACCAGAGAGAAGGGATATCGTGTGCCACCATTCGAAGGCCCATCTCGACTAATAAATGAGACAATGAAAGATGTTCGTTAAGAAGTGAATGCCCAACATGAGATACTTAATGAGGGCTCGAATACTTAAGTGGTTTAATTAACTCAAAAAAGAAGAAGTTGGAGGAGATTCGGATACTTAGAGGTCATACGATGAAGCCTCTAGAAGAAGAAAATAAAAAACTTCATAGTCAACTCCAATCGACAAAAGGAGTTATTAATGAGCTTAGAGCCGAAAAGGATAGCCTCGAAGAATTTAGAAATACGACACGAGAATATATTGCAAATCAATCGGATGTAATATGCCATTTGAGTACTCTTGTGAAAGAATTAAAAGGAAAAGATAAGGTCAATCGAGAACAACTAGCCGGATCTAAAGAGCACGTCATGGCTATGCGAAAAATGAGGAAGGAAAAGGATGCCTTGAGAAAAAAGTGGTCGAGTGGGGAAGTAGGACTATGGAGTATCATTTAGAAGCTTAGAATGCCAAGGATTATGCCTTAAGGATGTGACACACTATAGAGCTCTTAGGCGACGGTATACGCTCAAAAGATGAAGAAGTTCAACTATTTTATGAGAAGCTCCGAAGGCTCATAAATGACATGATTTCCTATGAAGGCTTGAGGCTGTGATCGAACTTAGAATAGGGTTTCATATGTAATATGGCTTTCTTTCATTGTAATTTTTTTTCTTTAAGTCACATTTAGAATGTGATAGAAGTTTGGATTGTAATAAGAATGTTATTTCTTCATGAAATACAACTTAAACCTTCGTGTGTTTTCAATAAGAATGGTTCTAAGTATTGATATTGCTATTAAAGTCCCAACATTCTAGAACTCATGAATAATCAAATCACGACTGAAATTAAGGGCATATATATCTCCCTAATCACCCAAGTATCTATGAGGTAAGTTTGCCCTTAGCGAGTACTAGCTTGATCCGGCCCATCCTTGACGAGATTCCGTCATGACTTAATATGCAACAAACAAAAAAAGGTATCTAATCCGATTCGAATCATGTATTTTTTTTGTATTGTATTCACTATATATATTTTTATGAGAATTTAGGTCCAAAGAAGCATAGATTGCACTTAGCCTGACTCACCTAAATGCCACGACAAATGGGAAACCGGAATGAAGCTCAAGAGCACCTAAGCTTCCAATAAGAAATGGTCATCATGAGAAATGAAGTGTCTCGTTTGACTAGTTTGCTTGAGAAGGCCTTCGACCCAACTCGTTAGAAAATGAAGCCTTAATGGTGAAGGATTCATTCTTTCCTCTTACGATACTAGTTCCTTCATCGATATGCCATGTCTTTATACTCCTTTCATGATAGCGACTCATCCCGAAGGACCCCTTTTAGTGCCTTTATTAGGCCATGTGACGATATCCATCACTAAGAAGTCTCCACTCTTACGGGCCTCATCTCGGCATATGGTCTTTTCTCCAAATCACTTATCTCAAAATCGGATCCTTGCACACTAACCCCAAGAAAATAAGAAGGAAAGGGCATTAAGGTATATGGGCCAACTCAATTTTTTAATAAAGAAGAAAATGAGCACGCTCAAAATTTCAAATGATCAATTTTGAAGGGAGACTATTATGAAGTAAATGGTAGGGGAATAAAGAGAAAGTGTTTAAGTAGGATCGACCTTGGTGGTATAACAAAAGAGGTCGATGAATCCGTATGGAGATATTTAAAGAGGTGGCAAACATTAGCCGTTCAAACAAATCCCCGTTGACTTAGTCGGAAAAGGCAAAAATCTTCATCAACACTTTGGGATTGCTATACCGTGAATACCCGAGTGATAGCATTTCATGTCCATTTGATGATCTCGTGAACATGACAAGAGAAATAAAGCATGACATAATTCTAAAAATGGATAAGGCTTTAGAAGGCATTTCAAATGAGAGAGCTTTTGGTCATGATGTCTTCAAAACCAACCCCATTCTCCATCCTCTAGAATCTCATGAAAAATAAGAAAGCCTTTTCTCTCGACTACCCATATTTCCCATGCAAGGCCATCAAATACGTAACAAATAATTCTTCAAGGGACTACGAGAGATCACATAGTGGAAGTAGTGGTCGAAGATATCAAGACATGTTGCCTCCACTTAAGGTTTCATTAATCGAGTTATGTAGGCATCTCATCGCCATCGGATAAGTCATTCCCATTCCTATAGCTCCGATTCAGCCACCATACCCTCGTTGGTACAAATCCACCGATGAAGGTGACTATCATGATGGTGCGGTAGGTCATAGTGTCAAGAACTCGTATGGTTTTTAAGAGAAAAGTGAGATCTCCGATTAAGCTAGGATGGGCCTTTTTGAATGAAAACCCAAATGCATCAAATCCTAGAAATAAGCCATAAGCAATTCATGATCCTTACCACCCAAACAATCAAGATCACAAAAGGAGTGTGAACAACTACCACCCTTACCTCTTTCACTAGGTGAGATATTCAAGCATTTGGCAAACATTGGGTAGATCACCTCGATCCTTACTAACCGAGATGAGTCCTCCTTATCTTGCATGGTACAAACTTAATGAGAGGTGCGAATATCATTCTAGTGTCGATGGACACAACATTGAGAATTATTTTGCTCTTAAGAAAAGGTTGCTGGCACTAATAAAAAAGGAGGGGATCGAGTTTTGAGGATGGTCTATACACTCTCAAGATGAGTGTGATTCCATTACCAAATCACGTAGTCGCCAGCACTTGGGGAGATGAGGTCGAGCAAATTTGAAAGATATTGTGAGGGTGTATGCTCACCGATTTGCATGTACCATCTTTTGATTTTTTCATATTTTGAATACTATCTTCATAATGTTTTGGTTATACATGATTTAAGATCTATTTTTTGAATGAAAGAATGCTTCTATTTTCTTTCATAATTTTAAATTATCCGATATGAAATTAAGAGATATTTATTTGAAAGCATTATTTGCCATTATATCTTTTCCCCATCAAGAAAATGTAATGGAAAATTCATTCATTAAAAAAAAGATTGATCAAATTTCAAAGCATGACAACTCTTCGAGTTCATCCCCTAGTAACCTTCCCGAGCGGAAAGTAATAGAAAAATCCTCCATTTTGATAAAAAAGAAAAAGAAAAGAAAAAACCCACCATCCTTTTCCAACGGAACCCTTGAAGGAAAGTTTTAACTAAAAAATATCATCAAGCTCGAAAAAAATAAAAAAAGGTTGGTCTCTTAAAATAACGATGAATAGTACATCTCCAAGTCATCATCATTTTTTAGTTAACCCAACGGTTCTCTAAGTCAATCATTCTTTTTTAAAAGGAGATTAGCATTTTTTAGCAAGGGCAAACTAGCTTTTGAAATGAGGAAAGACCATCTTTCAAGTTTCTCACAAAATTTTAATCCCTCGTCATCCCAATTTGAGCCTAGATGTTTTCTTTCATGATAACCCGGACTAAGGTCACCCCTCACACTCGGGGGTAGAATGAAAAGTCCATAAATAGTCGATGATACTCTAAAAAAATTATCAAGAGAATCTCATCGGTGATCGTAAAAGAAAAACAAACAAACAAACAAATAAAAAAGAAAAAAGAAAAAAAAAGGAAAAATGGGAGTCAAAATCCGGACAATAAGAGTTGAGACTAGGAAGCAAAGTCAAATGATAAAGCCACCTCGACAAAACTAGAAGGAAAATGTTCTCATAAAGTTCAAAGCATAATTGATGGCTAAAGAGATAAAGTTCAAGTGGCATTGCCTAAAAGAGACTTATGTGGACAACGAAGTGATCCTATATCATAAGACCTTGAAACACTTTTGAGCCTTTATATATCCTTCTTTCTTGAGCCAAAGTCATAGCCTACATTATGTACTTTTACAAGTCCTTTCGATCAAAGGCAGTTCGCTTAGGTTATTGGATACTAATCTTAGAAGA